TTCATTTTCTGTTTATTTTTTTCATTGTCATACAATATTCAATTTTTGCAAAGATGAATTTACCATGGATATGCACACAATCCGCTAGCTAGAGAATAAACACAAATGGGATATGTCCAAATAAAAATAACAACCACATCTACTCCTCAATCATCATACTATATTGTTTGAGAAGTTAACACAAAATTTCTAACACTACCCAAATAAACTTGTGACTCAATTTCACCAAATCTCATTCTTAATTAGTTTCCATATCTTCATGTTCTTCATTTTTTCCATTGGCATACAATATTCAATTTTTATTAATAATGAAAGCATAAAGCTATTTTTCTATATCTTCTATGACTTGCTTCAATTTCAAGGTAAACCCAATGACAAATAAATCACTCAGGAAAGAGATGTCATTTAGAAACACAGAGTTATAAAGCTTGACACATCTGTGGATGCAAAAATACTACAAAGCTAAATAATGAGTGAAAAATGCATGCTATGTTCAACAAGCACTTAACAGAGTCAGTAGTAACTTAAAAGACTTGATTCTTGGGTCAAGTTCAGAGACTTAGTTTCAAATCTTTGCAATAGCTAAGCAGATGCTTTCTCATGTAATAATAAAGGAAGGCATGCTTCATAAATGGCAATAACTAAATTGTTAGTTTAAATTTTAAAATGGGAGGAAAAAAGAAAAAGTTGAACAACCTTAACCAAAACAAATGAGGTAAATGTTTCTATGTGAGGATATCTTCAGAAGTCGAGATTTAACCAAGTTACTAAACTAGAACAAGCCCTCTCTCAAGGTTTTCACCATAAAAATGGAGTTTGTCTTTCTTAGAGCTAAATCCCATCCCAGTTAAATCCAATAAAATCACCATAAAATCATGTATCTTTCAAGTGCTAAACAACACTATGTGCCCTCATTATAGCAAATTTAAGTATCAGAATGACAAAGCAGAAATAGAACTCATTGACACTTTGCTTGCACAAATAATACCTAAAGTAGAAAGCAAAATTAAACTGAGACAAGAAGAACCCCAATAGTAAACAATGACACTTAGACTCAAACAGAAAAGATGATGAACAAAATCAAATTGCTACAAAGGATTTCATGACTAAAGTTCAGAAAGCCAACAAAGAAAAGAATACCATGAGACAAGTAATTTTCAAGGACTAAAGAGAGGATTCCAGTAAAATATAAAACATACCACAAGTTCCAAGCATCTATCATTGGAAAAAAAAAATACAACAAGGTTCCCAAGTCAAGGAAACCCAATGTTGGGTTGGTCCTATAAATTGGTAAATTCCATAGAAAATTTTCAAAATGTCACAAGCAAGAGAAGATTCTAGATTATGAAAGAAACAACAATCTCAAGTCACAATCCCAAATTCCATTTCCATTTCAAGAGAGGAATTACATGGGTAAGCAAAAAGAAATACAAGAGAATACTTGAAAATTTGCTTGAGGAAACAAAGATTTCAACAATGGAATGACAAATTCTCTTCACTTCAATTTCCCAATTTTTAAGCTACACTAATTTGTAATCAACCAAAAATATTGAGTTTAAGTGCAAAACTATTGGGTTTTGAATGCAAAAGATTGGGCAACTACCCATGAAAGAAAATCACTCAGGGAGAATGACAAAATAACAAGAACAAAAAAAACACCACATAAATAGAAGGCAAACTGAAAGAAGGAAAACCCAATGAAAAGATTAGAGTTTAGATCGAGAACTTGTTGTTGATAGAGATGATGAAAACTCAGGTAGATGCGTGCGACCGTGGAGTGGTTTGAGTTGTTGATGACAAGAAGGTGAGAGAGCAGTGGCAGAGTCGATGATGAACAAAAGTCACAATGGAGGCTTCATCGCCCTTGGGGAGCAGAGAAAATGCAAGGTTTGAAATTGAAATCCATGCGTGTAAGGATGATTTTGAAATACATAGATTTTAAGTCTTTCAAATATTTGGATAAAATGCAAGTATTTTATTTAAATTCAATTACATTTTATTTAGTTAAAAATAAATAGTAATATTAAATTTAAAGTGTTTCAAATTCAAATATACCTTGCAAAATTCATGTTTCCAAACCGAGCATGTTCAAAAAATTTGTTGAAATTGGGCTTTATAGAAATTGGTTCTGCAAATGTGTTATGGGTCTGTAATTTGTGATACACTAGACGAGATTCTAGACGATGTGTAAGAATCCTTGGTTCACTATAGAGGACGACCTCTTTTCCCTACAAATTTGCTTGCTGGTATAATTGTTTGTCAGTCAAAACCTGTTAAAGATGTGTCCTTAAATCGAAACGAGAAAAGTTGCTGCACTCAATTGTGAAATCGGGTAAAATTGAGAGTAACATTATTGCTTTATTTTTCACTCTTTTTCGTACACTTGAAAGTTCGAAATTTTGTATTACTTTTTAGGGATTTAAGCTACTATTGAAATTGTTGTTTAATGTTGCGGTTGTGACTTTTTCTATATTGCACTCTCACAAAAATATAGTGTTCGGTAATTATTTTTAGAGAAAAGTACTTTTCAATAAGATATATAGAAAATTAAAAGAAAAAATATTTTAAAATTATATTATTTTAATAAATTTTAATTAAAAAAGATTAAAATAATTTATTTTAAAATTTATTTAACTGGAAAAATCAAATGATCTTCGAATAGAGTGTAGACTCACAATGTCGCGTGGCTGAACTCGTGAAATTTCGCTCATTCTATTGGATCAAAGCATACTTGTGGCCAAAAATTATCGAGAGAATGCTGGTGTTTATCCCCTGTGGAGGCATTCAAAATGGCAATGTAGTGAAGGCAATGCAACTTCAACGACTTACTATCCTTTACTGGTTTTGCTATTTTTATCTGTTATTTGTTTGTGTTTTTGTTTGAAAAGCTAAATAGTTTTATGGGAAGAGTATTTCTTGTACTCTGTTTTAATATTAATAAATTATTTTATTGATTAAAAATTTATTTTTAAATTAGAATTGAGTTTGTTATAGTATTTTTCGTGGTATTTTAATAAAACAAGTTAATTATGAGGTATTTATTTCTTTATTTTTTTAAAATTTTTACTTACATATACTAATCTCTTTTTTTGAAGTAGTATTGTACATCAACTCTAAACTTGAAGTTATTAATAAGTGTTATTATTATTATTATTATTTAGTATTAACCTCTTAGCATCCAATAATCATATTGAATCCCGATTAATCTGGAATCGGGTCGCATTGGATCCCATTAGGGGAAAATCTCTTCCAGCGCATGTTTCTCCATTTACAGGACTCGAACTTAAGACCTTATTTAAGCGGAATCAAACTCCTTCCACTCGAATCAACATGTCATCGGTATTAATAAGTATTATTTTGTAAATTAGATATAGGATTTGAGTCTTGGGATTAGCACTTTAGGAAATAATTTTTTTTAAATACACTAAATCGATACGAGATAGGGATGTCAACGTGATCCTGCGGGGTCGGGGAGTCTCTCCCCATTCCCGTCCCAGTGAATGGCGGGGATGGGGATTCCCGTTGGGATTTTTAGTGGGGGGCAAATTTTGCCCCCCATCCTCGTTTCCCATAAGGAATGAGGATCCCTATT